TGATACCTAAAAATGTAGAATTAATTATTATTGAGGGTTACTGTAATTTTACTTTTACAAAGTAAAAACAATAATACTTTTCTTTTAAAAACTTATGCTTGTAAGGCTTACGATTTGATGGACTGTAAAGATATAAAATGAGGACGTAAACTAATGTGATTTCAAATCTGTAAGATTATGAAAATAATCGGGGAAAAGAGTTACATTGTTGAACAAATATACCCTCTTTCAAATACTCGAAATTTAAACAAAACAAACTTGAAACGCGGAATTCGGACACGGTACAATAAAAGAATGGACACAAATATACAAGACTGTTCGATTATTCGAAAAAGTATTCGATTCCTAATAATCGAATTACCAAAATAATCGATTCTTGATAATCGATTTTATTTGAAAATAATCGATTAATCAAATGAATAATCGATGGTTGTTTTAATTAAAAAAAAGAATAAAACCCTTATAAATATATGGCAACAATATTATAATAAAAAAATAAGTAGGAAATAAGAACTACTGATCAATTGAACAATGCAAATTACGTTCTGATGGTATTTATTAAAAGGTCATTGCTTATTTCAATCATTTACAATTTAAATGGCAAATATTCAACATCGTCCAATGATTTAAATAAACTTTGAATTAGTTCTCTTGTCAAAAACTTCACAATATTGAACAGCATATTCGTCATTATGTTTTAGTAGAAGATACTGCTGCAGTCGTACGTTGGAAATATGAATAGTTAAATTATAATTGACAGTAAAATAAATTGTAAATCTTCTCGGATCTTCAGCCTCTAAAAAAATATGTATCGAATTGTATTTAAATTATTTTTTGATGTTAGATATTTAAAAAACTAATAACTTTACCATTGTGATTAACAATTTCATTGTAAACGTGGCCTGCATTATTCATCATGATGTTCTTTTTAGATTAATATTGTCTAGTTTATAAAAATAAATAAAAGATATACATTATGTATTTCCAAATTTTCATTTGTCGATTGCTAAAATTGATTACACTTACAGGCCTAGATTACACTTGTGACTTTAGTTTGACAATAAACACCTGTAGAATGATTATGGGTATGATTATAGCGTTATGGTAAAATACGTAATAAAAAATGCGCGAAATTTGAAATCGGTGTCTTTTTGTCGTTGTTATGATTAAGAATATCAATTAAATAGTCTAGTTTCTTTTTTAATTTTTAGTAATTGTACTTACTTGTAGATGGTTTGAAACAAAATGAAAAAATTTCACCCATACAACTAAAAAATTGAAAAAGTCAAAGTACACACTGTATCACCATTTTAAGCATGCATTTTTTGTAAATCAAGTCTCATACAAACCCACACAGTAATAGATAAATAGTTATATATATGATAGTCGAAATATGGTAAAAGCTACAGGTACATGATTAATAGAACTTTGGCCAAAGCAATAACATATTACCAATGAAATGATATAAAAATTAGAAATACATTAATTCTATGAACAATTTTTTATTTCGTGCTAAACAGAGGATTTTAAATAATTTTATGAATTCAAATGATGACGACAGTAAATCGATAGAATATGCTGTAATTATAAATAGTCAAATAAGAAGGTTTGAGAATGAGATTATAGTACATACACCTTTGATTATACCCATGAAAATAAATAAGGTTTTAACTATTATACAATGAAAATAAACTCTTTCAAACACACAACCACCAAACTATAGAATTACAAATTCCACTCTACTTCGGAGAACGAACTTAAAAAAACGAGCATGTTTAAATGCATACCAGATAATTTACTACGATAAGATCTATTGATGAGTCCAGCCTGAAAAAATAAGCGTTCAGATGGAAGAGTTGTTGCAAGATGAGATAAACGCTGCAATGCTATTTTGCTAAGCTCTGGGTGATCTCTTTTTTGATTTTTCCAAAAATCAAAAATATTATCTTTTCTTGGTATGTTCGACGACTGAAGATAGGCGTGGATCTACAATTCCCAACCAGATTGATTTACCTGAAGAATTTCATCTATTTGCTGCTCATATAATTTATCATAGGCATCCCAAATACTAATACCTTCGAGATTCTGATTGATATTTTGATGTGAATTGGCCTGAATTTCTTGTCTTTTTCTTGCTTGCTCTTTTATTTTATTTCTCTCTTGTTTCATCTGTTTCAATTGATTGTCAATTTCTACTATAGCATCAACACATGCCATAGGGTTAGTAAAATTCTCTTTTTTTCTAAACCTCGGATCTAGAACCATTGAGCAAGCCAATATCAAATTTTTTTATAGACCTTCAAAACGTTTTTTCATGTGTTTCTGAACTGTATCTTTGAACGATTTTCTCACTTCTGTATCCAAATGGCAATTAGAAATAATATTTTCAAATACTTGCACAAGAGGAATAATAATACTACATGTAGGATATACATCCCCGCTTATTTTGTTTATTACATCTCTGAATGGTTTCATGATTTTGAAAACATCCGCAAGAATCTTCACTTCGTCTCTACTTAATATATCTATAGGATGGTTACATGCAATCATTGCTACGAAAACGTAAGGTTCTAAGACTAAATATCGATTGATCATATCGATTGTTGATGACCACCTAGTAAAGTAATCATTTATTAGCTTTAGAGCATTTGCAATAGTCTTGACATTTTTATTATCATCATCGTCTACTTGGCTTTGCTTTAACTTAGCAGTAGCATTATTACTTCTCTTGATAAGTGTGACAATAGTTCCAATTTTGTTAATCAATTCGTTTAATTTTAGAGATTCTTTTACAGATTCTGGTAAAACATGACATATCGCATGTCCTAAGCATGCTAAATGACGCTTTTTACCAACAATATTGATTGCGGCCTTTTTTATTGCCGCGCCAGCATCAGTAAGCATTACGCTAATTTTATCAATATCAATTTTGAACTCTTTGAAAATTTTCCTCATTAACTCTTCAAGATACTCACTTGTATGACCCTTATACAATAGAATGCAACCCAAACATATCTTTTCAGATGTTGATGTGTTCTTATCTAAGAAATGATGCGTAACACCTATATGTGTCTGATTTGCTCTGTCGGACCAATTATCAGCTGTGATACAGTAGCTTTTGAGACTATTTATTTTAGTTTGTAATTTCGGTTTCATAACTTGATACTTTTGCTCTAATCTAGTTGTTATTGTGTGTCTAGATGGTACCTTGTACAGAGGAAATGCTTTTTTCAAAAGAGTTTTCAAGCCAACTTTTTCTACTGCACATAGAGGCATATGATCTTCACACAACATGAAAAGAACTGTGTTAGTAATTTCATCATCCTTTGAACCACCAGCTGTAAATATAATAGAAAGTTAATAGCTTTGTTTGAATCGTATAAACTGTCGTATTATTATAGCGAAACCTTGAAAATTTGTCACTTTTTGAAATGCTGATTGAATACAAGGAGTAAGAATATTTGTTGATTGAACTTCATCCTGTAAAATAAAATTTAGTTATTTTATAATTTGTATATGTAATTTGGTAGTTTTTTAGCCTACAGAATCAAAGCGTGGCCTCTTTGCCACTTGTAAATTTGTTTTTTTATATGATTTGTGGTTAGTTGATTGATTAAAAAACAAAGAATGTTTTGCAGATAAATGTTTTATTATATTCGTAGTATTTCTATGATATTTTAATTTCTCTTGACAATGTTGACACAAAAGAAACTGTACTTTATTTTCAGTAATTTTTTTACAATGTGACCAGATAGAACTGACGACTCTATGATTAAAACAAATAATTTATTTCGTCAGAAAATATTAATGATAAATTGTTAAGTAAAATTTATACAATTTACCTTGACTTTCTAGAGGTATTAAAAGTAAAATTTGTATTTTCTTTACTCTGTAATGGTAGATCGCATGCATCTGAAGGATTTTTTGTGCCGAGTTGATTTTGTTTCATTGAAATACTTTGTACGGTTCTCAATTGAGATTCATTTTTTGAAGTAATTGTTGAAGTAACAGCTTGTATATTGCATCCATGATCGATTAAATTCCCCATGTTATTGGAGTCAGCTGTAACAATAATATTTAGTAGAACTATTTTGCCTATTTCTATCGATTAGAGATAATGATAACAATACTTTGTAAGCATACGAATTTGACTAGGACTATCTGATGTTGGGCAAGCTTTGCAACAATAACAAATGTCATCTGGTAGCAGTCTTGTTTCCATTTCATCATCGTCGGTAAACTCATCAATTGGTTCCAAGACTTTCACACTAGATAGATAGAAAAAGATGGAAGTGAGATTGTTTAATTTAATTAAATTTTTCATAGAACGATAGAAGAATATAGAACACAATTAATATACTTACAAGTCTATACCAACAATTGACTTAAATACAAATTTCAATTTTTCACCTTCTTCCAACAAGTATAGCAAATTACCTTGAACATAGTCTTAAGCCACTTTATTGAACTCTAGAATACAAATACTTAATTATTATGAATGTAAATTGTAATAATAATATGGAAATATTCCAAAATACTTTTTATCCTGGCATAGTGACCAGTGGATATATCATCAACTTTAACTTCAGGATAATTATTTATTTTAAACCATATAGACATCTTTCTCGGTTCTTCTGCAATTACAAAAATTTCAAGTTTATAGTTATTTTTACAATTTTATTGAATATACATATTTATATATATTAACCTACTACAACAATAAAATTTTTAAACTTAAATGTAGTAAATATGTAAATAAAATTTTTTTATGCACTTTGATTTTGTCTGTCTTCGACGAATGGGTTGAAAACATCATGATCATTGTTATCCATTCTTGATTCTACCTATTAGACAGCTCACGTCTCACTCTCACCTCACATTCAACCGTCACAAATTTCTTTTCTATTCGAACGTATGTAAATAGAGAGAATAATATGCACGCATGCGCAAAACACAAATTGCACAAAGCGCAGATCAATTCGATTATTGGCCAAAAAATAAACAAAGCTGTAATAATCGAGTTTCAAAATAATCGAAAAAATCGAATAATTTGTTAAATAATCGAATGCTTATCGATTAATCGAATATAATCGAACATCACTATACAAGAGACCTAGATGCGTTACGATTAGGAAAAAAAGTATTGGATGGTTAACACCATATTTCCATCACTAGACACTGTACAGTGTACACCCGCCGAATCATTCTGTGTACACCCTGATGAAATTTTCAAGGACTATCAGTTTGTCAGTTATGTGTAATGTCGACATTGACTTAACTTAAAGGGTGTTAGTATATATTCTTGCTGATTCAAGTAGCTTAGTTTTAATAACTGGCATGGTTGGTGATAGAAAAATGTATTCTTATTTGAAAAAGAAGTATTTTATTGATAATTCCATATACTACCTCTTTATACGAGTCTTTTTAACTTTGAACAGCAATAATAATACTATATTTATTTTTCATTTAAAGTGACTGCATTTTTCGAACATGGAGTGAAAGATGTTAAAATATACATTGTTAAAAATGTTATTTTAATTTGTGGGTTTTTATTTGTGGGATATTAGCAATAGTTTTTTTAAAGAAAGATTTTCAATATTATTTCAAACATTAACTTTTTTTACTGTTTTTGATGTGTTTTATAACGATATAAATATTTAAGAAACTACAAATTTTATTTGGAATACAATCAAACTCAACTTTTTTATCAATATATTATTAACTTACAGCAACGTTAAGTTGATAGTTATGAATAAACTTTACAGAAAATCCAAACATAGAATTGAGCATTCATCGATTGAATTGGATCTTGTGATTTTTATAGTTTATTAAGAATCAACAATTATGAGAGATAAATAGGATTAGACAGTTAATTTTTATAATGAGTTGGAAATTTTTGGAAAAAAAGTGACTTGGTTTTTATTACTTCTCAATGGAGACTTTAAAGTTCAATAAAGGCAATGATAAGTTTGTTTAATACACATAATTATTAATATTGTACAAGATGTTTATAATTATTTTTGTTCAATTTTTCATAAATGTCAATCATCTATTTATAGAATAGTCAATTTCTTAAATTTACAAAATGAAAATTAACACAGATTATTCATGCATTCATGATGGATTACTGTTCTTGGTTTCTCATTTCACTAGTATATTTTTACAATTCATTAGCTATGATATATTATTATTGCGACTGGAAAGATTTTATTATTTATAGAGTTCTTAATAATTTGCGTGAATGTATCAATATTGACAGAGAAAAATTTCAGTTAAACTTGTTTGACTGAAGTTTCAGTTAACTTGTTTTCATATATCAAATTTATGTCAAATATCTAATTAACTGAATTATTACAAATATTATGACTAGTTTTGTATTATAAGTATACTTCTAGTTTGTATTATAAAATATTTTTGTAGTTGGAAAAGTATAATATTGAATTATCTTTTTGAATGAAGCAAAAAAAATAGTTCATTGTAAATTAGATTTAATTTTTTGGTCATTTCTATATGGATACATCTGGTGTTTTTGTATGTTAAACATATCTTGTTCTGATTGACTGTATGCAATGACTATTAGTTTAAGCTAGTTTGCAAGTTGATAATTGGCATCGAAATAATTTTTTTTTAAATTGGAATATTTGTCAATCATATGAAAAGATTGAAAAAAAAATATTAGTTACGTTGAAGGTATCAATAATTAAAATAAATTTAGTTAAAATTTTTAAGTGTCAATGACTTTGTCACCATTACTGATATTAAGATGTACTTTTATTATAAACATGCCTAAAATCTTGAATTTTTTAAATGATCATGAACTAAAGAAACTGTTTTTTACACAAGTTATTAACATTTTATGTAAGCAATCACTTTTTTTTCAATGGGCTACATTCAGATTTTGTTCTATTGATTCCATTGTATTCCTGTAACTTTTAAATGTAGAAATCGTGAATAAGATTCAATGGTCAGCCATACAATACATTCAGATTTTTTTATATTGATTCCATTGTATTCCAGTAACTTTTTGATGTAGAAATTATCAATAAGATTCAATGCTCAGCCATACAATACATTCAGATTTTGTTATATTGATTCCATTGTATTCCTGTAACTTTTTTATATAGAAATCCTCAATAAGATTCAATGGTCAGCTATTCAATAATCTATATTCAGTGACTATCCAATTGAAACATCTAGCAGTCTCGATGGAGGTATTTCCTTTCTCGTCGCTCGGCTAGCATGCACAAAGTTGCACATTGTTCCTCACATACAAAAGTTGTCCAAAAATGAATTCAAAATCAACTAAAGCAGTTATATGTTTCTACATTGTTCGTAGATAAAAAAAATGCCAAATTAGAAATCCTAAGTGATTCGTTTCGCAAGTTAGGGACGCTTTTGTATTTATGCTATACGCATTCATGAAGAGCAAAGAACATTTGAGCACACACATATAATCCCCTTTTTGAACTCCAAGTCAAACAAATTAAGCATGTGCTTATTATTTATTGTTGGTAATATTTTTTTTTCAAAGATCTTATCAATATATATATATATATTCCATAGTATCAAAACTTATAGGTAAGTTTTTACGTAAGAATCCACTAGTCCGGGCGCTAGTGACACTTGAGCATTTTTGAGAAGTGCACGCGGTTATATAGTTGTTCTTTGTGATTTTGGGATCACTAAATGCGAATGCCGTGGGTGTTTTACCGAATTCCCGGTCAATTTTGTTTAAATCACATTGTTGGAACAAATTATGAACAAATTATTTTTTCGTCCCGAATTATTTTTTTTATATAATTTGGCTCATTTTGAGAAAAAAAGGTTTCTTGTCATTTTTCTCTAAAATGCATATTTAAAAAGTTATTAATTTTTAAAGGTCAACAATTTGACGTTTTTTTGCTAACTTTGAATTTTAATAACTTTTGGCCTATTAAATATTTTTTCAAAATTAAAAATTATGCTTGTTCCTTAACCCATTCAGTCCGAAGTGGACGATTTTTTTTTACTGCTTTCAATTGATTTTCTGAATGTGAAATCAGTCTTCAAAAAAATTAGGAGAGGATATTTCCGACGTAAAATTGTCTGCATAAAAGGCGTCCTTGAATCCTAGACTTTAAGTTATAGGTGTAGATTTATATATTTGAGATATAGATGTATTGGTATTTGTATGTGTGTGAACGAGGAGTCTCGTGTAAAAGGTTAGTCGTAGTGTGAGGTAGCCAGGCTCACACTCGAGAGGTTGGTAAGGTAGAAAGCGTTTCGTCCCGATGCTACCGGCTGCACTCGTCAGTAAGGCTCGACGGCCGGTAACATCTGCCTCATACGCTCGAAGTGCTGCTCGTATCGCTATGCGGACTTATATATTCAGTGAGCGTATTTATTGCCGCTCGTGGCTGGCCGATACCATCTAGATGTGGATGGTCGAATCATGAGACAGTCACAGATTTTTTGAAATTCAACATGGCTGCATCCAATACGGCGGTTTAAAGAAGGAAATTTTTTGCTACTTTTCGTAGTTTTACGAAAAACAATATTTTTTTACCAATATTCATCAAACTTCGTGAATAAGGGTTTTCTGCGTCGCTGATTACGAATTTACAATCAGATTTTTAAAATTCAAGATAGCGGATCCAATTTGGCGGCCAAAAATTTCAAAAAATGTAAGGTTTTTATAAAAATTGGTGTACAGCGGTATTTTAGGTCGCTAATTACGAATTAATTATTAGATTTTGACAATGGCGGATCCAATATGGCGACCGGAAGTTTCGAAAAATGTAATATTTTTATGAAATTTGGTGTACAGGGGTTTTTTAGGTCGCTGATTACGAATTAATTATCAGATTTTGAAAATTAAAAATGACTGATTCATTGTGGAAGCTGAAAATCCAAATAATTTTTCAGTTTTTAGTCATTTTTTAATTTTGGTATTCAAAAGCATGAAAATGTTAATGACTCTAGATTTTGACAATTCGAAACTTTAAAACTGTTACTGTATACATGACATAAGCCCAAAACACCCCTATACATGCATTTTTTAGATTAGAAAATTATAAAAGGATAGAAAACTTTATATTAGCTATTTGAAAATTTAACTACAAATTGTTATTTAGTGATTTAAAAGACCTATGGGTACCGATTTCTATATAAACTGAAAACATTTTTGGATTTTCGGCCGTTATATTGAATCTGCCATCTTGAATATTCAAAATTTAGTAATTAATTCGTAATCAGTGTCCGAAAAACCCTTGTACATCAATTTTCATAAAAATCTGACTTTTAGTAATTTTCGACTACCATATTGGATCCGCCATTTTGAATTTTAAAAATTTGATTGTAAATTTGTAATCAGCGACCCAAAAAAAATCCTATACATGAAGTTTGATGAACATTGGTAAAAAAAAAATATTATTTTTTGAAAAAATACGAAAAGTAGCAAAATATTTCCTTCTTTGAACCGTCATATTAAATGTCGCTATGTTAAATTTAAAAAAACCTACCCCTATAACTTAATATCCAGGATTCGAAGACGCCTTTTATGCGTCATAAAGATCTATATTGAGATTTAACTCGAAAACAAGAATTTTTCTCACTCAAAATTTTGCATTTTTGTTAAATAAATAATTATAAGTGTGTTAATATGTATTTTTTTCAAAATTCTGTAAGCGTAGATCGAAAGTCTACAAAATTTTACGTCGGAAATATCCTCTCCTGAGTTTTTTAAAGACCGATTTCATATCAGAAAATTAATTGAAAACAGTAAAAAAATCGTCCATTTAGGACTTAATAGGTTAAGAGTTGCTCTACAATATGATATACTTCAAAATAAAATCTACCCCTCAAAAGTTAATAACGTCTTGGAATGCTGACGTTTATTCCCCGTACGAAAAGTGAAAACGTGCAAATTACAAAAGGCTGCGTACTTGTCCATAAGATCAAACTCCTAGTGAAATGCAAACGCAACTAATAAAATACTGGCACTAAGCCAATTTGTTAATAGATTTGCCATACTGCAACAAGATGATAACGAAACTCAAATCCATGAACCAAATACAGAAAAATCCAAGGAAGCAAACGTCATAAAAAATAAAGCACCTCCAATATTTGCTTATTACATCAATAATATACCTCTACTGGTAAATGTTCTAAACATAATAGCAAAAGACAGCTACACTTTAAAGTACAATAAAATTTCTAACAATTCAGTCACACTAAAAATTACTGCTATTTAAGAGCAGTATGTGTAAAATGTGCACAAAGCCATAAAACTAAGGAATGTCCAATTAGAGAAGAAATCAATGAAGTAACATATGCAATTTGTAAAGTTAACCACACTGCAA